GTCCCCATCCCTGGAGGTATTTAAAAGCCGTGTAGATGTGGTGCTGAGCGACATGGTTTAGTGGTGGACTTGGCAGTGCTGGGTTAACGGTTGGACTTGATGATCTTAAGGGTCTTTTCCAACCTAAATGATTCTATGATTCCTGGTGCTTTTTTGACCTCGTGAAGCAGGTCAAGAGTGGATATTTATTAACATTTAAAAAATAAAACCTGTAGCACAAGTGCTGCCCTACAGCTTAAACCATAGCGGCAGAACTGGATGTCTAGGGTCAGGGTAAGGTGGAATTTTAATCTGATTCCAGGAAACAAACCTGATTAACCCATCGATTTACTTCCTTGCTGCTGTTTGGCATTCTCACAGTGAACATATTTCCACCATAGAAAAAGACACCAACGGAGATGCTTTGTGGGTTTGGTGTTATCCGTCCGTAACAGCTGAACTGAGGAGTCTATTGCTGCGAAAGTGCTGCCTTACAGATGAAAATAAATTGCTTCATACATTTGTATTTGGCCAGTATAAAAGGTCATGGTTCTACATCACAACTGTGGAAGTTCAAGATTCTCCAGCCTTGAAAAAGGTAGGACTTGTCCCATGGGTTTTTTTGGTCGAGTGCAGGGAAGACTTCTGCAGAGCTTCCTCTGGCAGTTTAAGCAGTGTTTTCTCATTGTATGCTGTGAGAAGGGGAAGGGATTCAAGGTTTTTTTGTGCTCACAAAGGCAGCTCTTATCCAGCTGTCTAACCAGTCTGCATGTTAAGGTTTTCACCAAGATGTGTATTGGGTGGAGGTGCAGAGAGATTGAGAAACACATTATGCAGTTCAGATTCTATGTATTAAAATAGAGATGCTATTGCACCCCATTATTTCCAGTTACTTTGCATTTCAAGTTCAGCATTTTTTTTTCTCTCTCTTTTTTTTTTTTTGGTCAAAAAAGCTTTATAAAGGGTCTTCTATAGTGTCCAAAATCTTCTTCATGTAGAACTTGATGCTTTTTTTTTTTCCTCAGAAGGTTGAATTATATAGGGACTTTCTTTTCTGCTGCATTGATAACTGAAAGACTGCAAATATGCTTGTATCTTCTATACTTTCCCTGTTATGAAGATCATTAAATTGTCTGTTCAGTTTATTAAATTTTCATATTTCATGCTATATTGTTAAGTAGAAAGATAATGTGGTAATTTTGCATGCCCACAGCAGAATGTTGCTTGCGTTTCCTCACTCCAAGCTTACATCTCCTGTGAACCTTAAAGGTGGAAAAAAAAAATAAAATAAAATAATGTGTCCCAGTGCTGTCTCTGACAGTGGTGGTGGGAGATGCTATTTAAGGAGGACACGAGATGCTATTTAAGGAGGACACAGGTCATTGTCTGCAGACTTCCAGCCCACAATCATTTGATTAAGGAAGTTAAAGAGTATTTCTGTTTGTGGGCCTGCTATCTGTGATTTTTTTTCTGATCTCTTTCTAAATATGTTGATGCTGTCTGCCTCCACAGCTTCCTTTGGCCACAAATTCTGGAAGTTTCCTAGCTGCTGTGGGGAAGAAAAATGCCTTTCTAGCTTTTAAAATAATCTCACTAGATGAAAGGAAAGCAACTCTTATAGAGTAGATTAAGCAAAAGATAGTATGTGCTAGAGCTGACTCAATGGAAATGAGTCACATCAGAAATCTGTTAGCCAGGCCTTTTCTGCAGTTAATAACTTGGATCTGCTGCTACCGCTTACTTTTTTTTTTTATCGAAACACCTTGTCAGAGTCCTGCAGCAAGTTCAATAATGTGAAAAAAAACTGTTCATATGGCATCATTAAATAAGATGTGTATTTTTCTGTGTGTGTGCCTTACCCAGGTGACCCACTTCTCCATTGTTCTGATGGCCAAAGACTTCAACCCAGAGAAATATGCAGCCTTCACTAGGATACTGTGTAGGTCTGTATAAAAGCTGGTTTGAGGTACTGCTGTGCGCATGTTTAGATCTTGCCAGGGCAAAAGGTTAAATTTCATTGTGTTTTGTTTGCATTTGGTCTAATAATCTTCTGGAAACTGTCCTGCAAACTGTGAATCAGATTATGTAAATCCTTGATTTGAGTTTATTTTGAGTTCATGCAGTAAGTGTTGGGTGAATGTCAGATGCCCAGTAGGTTTTAATGTGTCTTCTCCAGACACACACCACCACAACCACCACCACCCACCCACACACTCATTTTTGTCTGAGAACATTTTTAAAAAGTATAAACATTTGGGAAGAGGTCAGTGCTGTGTAGTCAAAGGTCACCATGTGTATGGTGGACAACTTGCATCCCTCCACATCTCTACTACAGATGCTTCTTGCAGCTCCTTTGAACTAAGCACAGCACTCGGGGACATTTTTGCTTTTCCTCTCGGAAAATGAGAACCGTCTGCTTCTCGAGGTCTGTGGCTCCGTCTTCTTCCTTCTTCCAACCACACTGCCATCTTCTCCTTTCCTTGTACAGTTCACTCACTATCCTCCACTTCCCAATTCTCATGATCTCTCTCTGCATCTTTCTTTGCTTTTCCTTCAGTTGCCAAGTTAGTTGGGTCCCACGTCTTGATACCAAGAGTATTCCCTGAGATTTTGCAGCTAATTGGATGCAATCATGAGGTTATTGTATCACAGACCTGGGCATGCCGTCAGGCTTACCGGTTCTGCAGGGTATTGAAAAACTGAGATTATTGTTTTTCACTGATATATATGAAATACTTAGATTTGCTGTGGATCACATTAATACTGATTTATCAGCTAATACTTCTTTTCAAATCCAGGATGGATTCCTCTAAACATGACAATTGGGTTTCAGATGTGACATAGCTTTGTACTATAGCTAATGTGGAAAACAGTTGAGAGCTTCAGTGCTATTCCTGAAGTACCTTAACCTGTAAAATAGGTTACAGTATTTCTCTGCTGTCTGGCAGACAGCTGAAAGTGCATGGGTTTTGTTGGTGTGTGGTTGTTTTGTGTTTGGTGGCTTGTTTTTTTTTTTTTTATGAGTATCAAGGACATATGTTTATATTTTTCTTTCATCATTTAACAAAGAGTACAGAAGAATGTCTAATGATACTCGGATAAAAAATGAAAAACTAACTAGTCACATGGTCTGAATGTAATAACAGGAGTTACTGTAGTAGTTGCTTTTTCATAAAGCAGGTGCCTTCCAAGTCTGCAAAGAATCCTTAGTCTGGACACCTGCTTGCACCTTTGTGCTCTGTTTCTATGTTGGTAAATGTTGGTTCTTTCACAAAATAGGAAACCCAAACAAAAATACCAGGTAGCTTTTTATCCTAAAACACAGACATGTTTTTGTGTGCATGTTGAAAGACTTCTAGTTTAGTATTTAAAACCTCAACCAGGTAATATTGCTATTTGTGATACTGTGATTTTTTTTTTTTTTTTATGTCTGCTAGTATTGATTGCAGTCAAAATGCCAGACTCTTTTCTTTTCACCCAGAATCTACTTGAAGCATGGAAGTCCAGTTAAAATGATGGAGAGTTACATTGCAGTCCTTACAAAGGGGATCTGCCAAAGCGAAGAAAATGGATCTTTCCTCAGCAAGGATTTTGATGCTCGGAAGGCTTATCTTGCTGGTTCCATCAAAGGTTAATTAATACCAGAAGTCTCTATTCTGATTTTTTTTGTACAATATAAAATACACATGTACTCCAAGTAAATAGTGTTAACAGTATTGTCCATGCTGTTACTGTTAAGCTTCTTCAAAAAACAAATGATAATGTCAGCATGTATATCTTCTATAAAATAATTTTCCCATCTTTTCTAGATATAGTGTCTCAGTTTGGAATGGAAACAGTTATCTTGTATACGGCACTGATGTTAAAGAAGAGAATTGTAGTGTACCATCCTAGAATAGAAGCTATCCAGGAGTTTACCAGGTACTTTGTCAACCCGTACCTCCCCACCCACCCCTAAAAGTCCCAACAAATTTTGAACTTTCATTGAGAGAAATGCCCATATTTTAGGGGGGAAAAAAGAAAGTCTTCCTTAAACCTGTTTATTGAAATCCTGCTAAATCCCTCTTAAGGCTTTAGCCGTACGTTCATCGACTTGGAGACATTTAACTGTAGAATGAGCGATAAACTCTGCTTGCACTGACAGTAGAGATCTCTGTCGTTCACGTATATGCATGCCAAATGAGACCTAGCCGTACTAGTTCTTTCTTATGACATGCATTTCGTACTGTGAAACTGTAATTAGTGTAAGTAAAAAAAAATCTACTGTGTATCAAGTACCAATCTGATTTCCGTAGGACTTTGCCTGCTTTAGTGTGGCATCGACAAGACTGGTCAATTCTTCATTCATATGTGCATCTAAATGAGGAGGAAGTGGAAGCCTTAAAAGCCTGCACAGGTAGTAATAATTTATTGATCAAAAATATAAAGAAAACTTAATTTCAGTTTCTGTTGCTGCAAGGTCTTGCACCAGTGATCTTTGGGGGAAAATAGTGGTTACTTTGCTATTAATGCTGTTGTTCAAAGTTGAACACCATCATTTTCTTTAGAAAAGGCAAATCAACTAAACAAGCATGTTAAAAGAGAACTAGCTAATCCGGTGTTTCTGGGTGGATCTGCATGAGTCTACCCCTAAGCACAGACGCAAAGCAGCTTTGAGACTTTTTTGATGTTGTGATCAGAGGGATTGAAAGTCTTACTGTTGTACAGAAGCAGCTCGATTCAGATAAGCTACTTTTTTTCCCAACTTCTACACATAGCTAGTAACTGATTTTTTAGGATTTTTTTTTTCTTGCCAGTTCCTAACTCTGAAGTCCCAAACTTTTATTCTGACTGCTGCCAGTGAAGTCTCTGGTTCCTAATCACAGGTAGACTTTACCAGACATGTAGGAGTTTGATCTGTGTGACACATAGCTGTGTATGCATAGTACTTAACGCATAATCCAGGAAGAGGCCCTTGCTTTATGCAGAGGTTAGCATGACACGTAATGTGGCAATTCAGAGCTTCTCTATACAGAATAATGAGCAAGAAGACTACTCATCTTCAATATTTCTACCACATTACCAACAGTGCTTGTTTCAGCTCACTAAATATCTTCCACAGAGAAAAGCTGCTCTAAGTTTGCTCACCTGGCATGCTATAAATAAGAAAATCTGCTGGTTTTATTCCTCTGTTCCAGTCTAATACTGACTTAGTGACAAGGGGCTCCAGAGTAGAGATTCCTGTAAAGAGGAAGTTCAGAGCCTTTTTCATTTGCAAATGAATCATTTTAGTAGCAAGGTAGGAAGAGAGTTTAAGATTTCAAATTGATAACCTTTTTATATTGCACATAGTGTTACCAGTTCATCCATGTTCAAGGCAATTTTAGAAGCTGATTTTTTTTAAGCTCCTCAGTAGTGAAGCATCCTGCTGGACACGCATGTTAAATGACTGATAATATCAAGAGAGCAGCCTCCTGGGTCCAATGAGTATTGTGTCAAATGCTCTTAGAACAGACTTTAGGACTGTGATTTTCCGCAATGTCTTGGTTTTGTTTATGAAGGTCCTAATCTTGCCAAAATTCTGCTCTCTAGGTTACATTGCTGGATTTACAGATTCTGAAGTGAACAGTAGACCAGACCTCTACGATGTGTATGTGAATTTGGCAGATAGCGAGATCACTGTTTCCCCTGTAGTAAAAGGTTGGTTGCTTTTTATATTTTGGATTTAGAGGCCGTTTATTCCAGAGTTGATAGCAATTGCTGAACCTCGCTGTAGGTCAAGCAGTCTTGATCCTTCTTCCATCCTGGTTCTGAAAGGCCAATATGGAAGATTCTGTCTTTCAGTTTTATTGAGACCCTGAAAGACTGGCGACGGTTGGAATTTGGAAAGACGTGCTTCGTCTTCCAACCAATGTACAATTGAGATTTCAAAACATCCGTGTTAGACGATTACGTGGAAGAGACATTCAGCCGAATGCAGAGATATCACCTGAGTCCTTAGAAAAACGTTGCACTAAGTACTTGGATGTTGGGGACTATTTGAAAGGAAAGCTTGTACATTGCTTGTCACCTTGCTGTTCCTTGTCATCTGCTTAGGGCTGCTTTGGAGGCAGACAATTTGCCTGTGCTGGCATGGCTGTTGATACATCAGGTTACTGCCTTTACCAATAGATTTCAAATGGCAGTCATGAAGAGGACTCCTTGTTTTGGCTTGTTATTCATATGCATTTCTGGATATCACAGAAATGGTCATTTTATGTGAATGTGTGCTTTTTTTTTTTTCTCCTCCCTTACTCAGAGGCAATGACAATGGGAAAACTTCACAAAGAAATTGCACAACTAATTGTTCAATCTGCAGAAGATCCAGATAAATCAGACAGCCAAGTCATTAAGGTTAATATTTTTTTATTTTTATTTTTGAATCTAGTTAAATTACTTCTATTGCTAAATCTTGGCGGAAGGGGGGAATAGGAGGAAGATTGTCCCTGGGAATAAGTTGATCTCTTGTACCCTCTGCCGTTTTACAAATGAGCATTTTTATTCTTCATACAGGTTTTTAAGGATGACGTTAGTTTATATTATCTCTTGGGTAACCACATGGCTGAAGAAACTTCAGAAATTGTATTGATTATAAGAATTCCAGTAAACTTAGTTCCCCAGTTTTATTCTACAAAGCATGTATTTTGCTCAAATACTTTGTCAATACCTCAGAAAAAGTCCTGCTGAGATACGGCTTCTCAGCTATAAAGTCTGATTTTATGATGATGTTTTTTTTCACTTCCTCCTCTATCTAATAGATTATTAGACATTTCACAACTGAGCAACTTAGTCAAAAGAGCTCAGTTGGGCCAGCGAGAAGAGCCTGTGGAGTGGCAGTGCTCCCTTTATCCGACATTGCACAAGAGTAGACTAAAGAGCTGTTGAAAGTTTGCCTTAAAATAAATGGGGTCTTTATTTAAAATGAACTACTTATTTATCAATATTTTCTTTTTGTTCTGTATTGATTCTTTTTTTTAGTTAGTGTATGTTAAAACATTATAATACCCAATACCATATTCATGGTTGCTCGTTTTTCTATTCTTCAAGGATATTTCTCTGAAGACAAAGGAAATCTTGGCTACTTTAGCCTCCCTTACTGAAGTTTCCGATGGCAATGAAAAACCAACCCTGAACTCTGAGGCCCTGAAACAAAAACGATTTCCACCAGCTACAGAAAACTTTCTTTTTCATTTAGCAGCTGCTGAACAAATGCTTAAAATCTGATTTTGATGCACTCCAGTGTTATGGACCAACTCAGAAATACTGTCTTTGCCATACAGATAGGAATACCTGATATTTTATATGGAAAAATTAAAGGTATAAGAGTGAATGTCATATTTACCGTGATATAATGCAGAATATCGGAGCTTGACGTGGAACGTATGGAGGCATATTTGGGAATATTTCAATAGTCGTTATCTTTCCCGACTTTGTACGTATGGCTGCTGTATTTCATATCACAGTGTGGATGCATATACAAGTAGCATGTGCCTCTGTGTCCTGGCTGTGCCAGACATTCTTATAGCGGCTGTTTGTCCTGCAGGTTCCAGATGTCGGATGACTCTGTTCTTGTTCTGACTTGTCTTCCTGGGGTCTGGAACATGGGCTGCAGCACACATGCTGTAAAACCAGCACAGTTTGGGTGGGCTAGTCTGCACAGGGATGCACTGAACGTGCAGTTGGTCTGAGTGCTCATTCTGGGCTTCCAGGTATGTGAGCCTGTCAGATACTGCTCTTGCTCTTGACTGCCCGATACCTGGAAATCCCAAATAAATGAACAAGTTCTCTTCTTTCTGCTTGAAAGTGTCTAGGTGTAAAAAAGGATGTCTGGGAAAATCTGACGTGGTAGCCTTAGTATATAAAGGAAGAGGTGTTTTAAAACTCAAGTGGGAGTTGAGCGCCTCTTTTGGACTCTTGCCTTAGAGGTTTTCCTCCCTTTCACTCCATCCCATGCCTCTGATGGAGGGAAAAAGAGGACAGGATCACTGTATTTAAAATGGGGCTTCCTAGGGGGGTCACAGACAAGTGCTGCTTTACAGCTGGAGTCATTTAAGAAGTTGTTAGGGTTCTCAGCTGAGAAAATAGCTGGCTGTTCATTCCTGATCCATTTGACAGAAAATCAGATGAGTTAAAGCCTAATGAACTAGAAATGTTCAAATGGGCAGGTACCACAGGTACCACATCAACCTCTTAAACTGCTTGAGCTGTAACACAGGTACTATCTGATGGTGCTCTGTGTAGACTAAATATAGATGGAAACTTTTGAAGTAATAGTGAAAACAGAGAAATAGTTTAGAGAAAATTAAAATTTTCCTACTTGTTTGGTTGCATAGGCATAACTCAACTTTTTTTTCTTCCATGGAGCAGCCTGACACTAACTGCTTCGTAATCTTCTGAGAAGAACTTAGATTCTTTGTAGGGAACTACTCTGAGCCAAATGATCTGTATTTCTTCAGAACTGTCCACAACAAATCAGTCAATTCTGCAGTAGCACTTTGTTGTAAGAAAAAAATAACCTTTTTCCTGGCCTTTGTACAGATAGGCTGTAGCATGTGGTTTTAAATAGAGATTTTATACTTACGATTAAAACTTTAGTAATCAATATTTATATTGTTAAATAATTGGATGTTTGCTATTCTGAAACTGATAGAGCTCATCAGTAACTATGTGCAAGCAATATTGGTTTGAAAAAGGGTTGTCCTTTTGCTATGTATCATATGTTAAGGAAATCTATTTTAGAATATGGATAAGGAATGTGACATCTATGTATAAAACGGCTAGTTATTACAGTCAGTAAATGAAAGTGCTTCAGAATAATCCCCTATTTTCAGGGGTGTAAAATTCTACTTTAAACACTTACTCTGCAGTTTAAATCTGAACACAGAAGAGTGTGCTTTTTTGTTTTTTAACTTCTGAGAAAAATACTGCAATTGCCTTTGTTTACCTGTAAGTGCTCTGCAGCTTTTTTTCCCCATTTGCCCATTAATGTTTTTTCTTAATGGTTCTTTAGTATTGCTGCATCTGTTTTGGGACTTTCACAACAGTTGGAATAGCAGAACTGCAAAATTATGCTGAAAATGCCATTCAGGACCTACTTTAAAGTCCACTGAAACGGCAATCTCTCACCAAGAAAAAACTGAACGTGCTTTCAGTCAGCTGTCGTAACACCACATTGTAACTGTGAAGAAATTCACGTAGCTTCTTGTTAACAAAAAGCCTTAAGGTACATCGTTAAGGTAGGATGGGTGTTAGAGACAACCACAAAAAGCAGAGAAGCTCAGTTACGAACTAAATATTGAATGCTTGCTTTGCTTTCTGTTTTGGAAATGTTTAAGTTGAAAATCTTGGTGTTGTGTTAGATCTTGTATTCTGACGTTTGTGCGAAACAAATGAAATATAATTTTGCACTTAAGGAACTGGACTCGTAGCACGCTTATGCCTATTAAAAAAACCCTGAACAGTCTACCCTTTAATTTATGTAAATGTATTCTTGAATAGTTGTGACCAGAGTCACAGGCTTTGGCTCTTAGTTTTGCAATACTGGGGTTGAGCTACAGCTTGATGTTTAGGTCAGAAATGTACTACTACACATTCGAACAGTTTTGTCATCTGTGCTGATTTTTTTTTTTTTGTCAGCGCTGAGAAAGAGGTATTGACCTCCCTCAGCTTCAGTACTGTCAAAAGATTGTCCTAATGTTCTTGCATTTTCTTAATGACTTTTGACACTGTTTCCTCTCAAAAAGGTTTAGAATAAAATAGAAAAATCTGGAAGGTCAGGACAGGGAAAGATTTCTGCTTATTTCTCACTTCCCTTTCCCCAGGATGCATCCAAGCAGACTGTGCGTGCGGTTGCTGGTTTTGCAGAGTCAGATGACATCCTTTCTTCTTCCTCCTAGAAGCAAAGACCATGTAAAATGCAACGGTCATTCCTACCTTCCCGTCTTACTGCCTTTCTGTTCTTGGATAAATATGAAAACAGTGAATGATGGTTCCTGTCAGCCCACTAAGAGGCGTGCCTCCAAAAGGCATGCAGCGCGTAGAATAATTGAAAGCCTTGAGTTCAAATGGAAATTGTCGCACTGCTCCTTCCTCAGCTGAGGCAAAAGGTACTCCCAGAGCACTCCACCTTGCTCGTCGCCCACGGGAACCAGTCGCTGTGATAACTGTAGCGTAACATCTGCGCTACGTTTGCAGATACTGGAGGGTAGACAGTGAACGGAGCAAAGGCTTGCAAAGGGGAGCAGGATAACCAGTCAATCCCTTCAGCTGTAATTTTGCTGAGTAAATGGGGCTAGTCCCTTAAGGCTAGCTCTGTTGGCTTTAATGCTTTTGTCCCTGGTATGAGCTGGTCTGCCCCGTTTCCCCTGCAGGCAAGCGTGGGAGGGAACGTTCTGATTGAGAGCAATACAATGCTGTGTAACCTGGAAAATAATTGACGCGGGACATCTGACATCATCCATCTTAAAGCTGTGGGCTGCTTCTGATTTCAACCTCTGACTGCTTCAGTTCCCCAGCTACCGAAAGGGCTAGTGAGGATTTGTTAATAGGGTGTTGTGAGATGTCGTTTGAAGCAGGTAAATTTCTAGATAAAAAACACACCGTAGAGCTCAGTGTGGGAAGTTCACAGCTGCCTCGTGCTCTCCCCTAGGCAGCTGGCTGGCTGCAGCCTGAGCCAGGGAGCTTTGGCCAGGTGAGGCCGAGGCCATGCCTCAGCGCTGCCGAACGACGCGCGGCTCGGGAGGAGGCTCCCAAGAGTGGGCAACAGCTCCTTCCCGGGCGGCGCTGTGCAGCACGAGGCCTGGCGTTGGCTGCGTGACGGGGAAGGAGCCGCGGTGCAGGACTCCCTCCCTGCCTGCATCCTTCCGTCCGCCACCCGTGGTTGGCGAGGAAAAGTAGCGCGGCTGGGCTGCAGGCTTGGGGGTGAGACAGGGGCGCGAGCTCCAGCTGGGGAAGTGCGTTGATCTCAGTATTTCCTAACGTGGGAGTGGCTGATCTTATATATATTTTTTTTAAGCTACATTAAAGGGACATGGAAGCCTTGTTGTATATTCCTAAACTTGCTGACAAGCTGAGTAGGTGGGGAACTGCTAGTGTATTCTGCTGTACTTGAGATTTACTTCTCCTTGAAGCTGAAAGCTTCCATCTGTTGTAGTTTACCACACCTTAAACTGGTTCCACCACTAGTGCACTGTCACTTAACACACTGGCCGGCGCTAAACGAGGGAGACAGACCTGCCTTGGGCTGCTATGTTGTTCATCTGTTCTAGGTTACAAATGGGAGGGTTGTCCTGTAGGTGCGGACTCTCCTCCCAGGTCCTTCAAATGTGATGCTTTTCTGCTTGTCCCAGTCTTGTTCCCCTGGCTTACACCTCTGGGCTACCAGGTGTCTGGTCCTGGCAGTTCTAATTCTAGCCTTGTAACGACTTTATTTCAAGACCAAGGATGCCAGGGCCTTTTTAGCAACGTATTTTCCCTGCCCTGATCCGGGAAGCAGCTGAATCACCCAGGCTGACAATTTAAATGGCAGGTGCCTGCCCTCCTCTCCTGGAAAATTGTGGTTAGGGCACCAGAAACATTTCTGAGAATGGGGGAAAGGAAAGAGGTATTTAATAACCCTGAGGAAGCTGTGTTTAATATGGCAAATTTCAACTCAAGTATTCAGTAAGAAGCTGGCAGAGTCTGATAATGGGCAGCTGTAACAACAGACACTATTACCAGACCTGTTCCATAAGCCTTACTCACAGAGTTGTAATGACATCAATTTGCTTAAAACACCCAAGTGTGGTGCCAGAGAACTTACAGCTTTTCTAGTTACCGTGATGATTCAAAGTCCATGGATGTGTTATCTTCAGTTTGTTGGTTTTGTTCTACTCTTGGGGTTTTTTTGGTTTTTTCCTCTTTGTTTCCACTGTGGTTCATGTAACTTGCATTTACTTTAGCCATTCTTATGTTTAAAAAAGGAGTGGGGAGAGGTGTGGGTCTTCACTGTAGTGCCAATTAGTGTTTACTGAGAGTGGAATTAGACCCCGTCTGAGCTTGCCTTTGGTATGTTATGGAAATAGGATTAATAGAGAAACACGGTTTTAGAGAGTTTAACTGTGGGATGTTAGCTGTGCCACCGTTACTAAAGATCTGGAAGGAGACAAACGCTTCGTTGAGAGAGGCAGGCTGAGCCTGTGGTATCTAAGGAAAAAGAGCAGGGCAAGCCTCCTTCTCCCTAGTGCCCTCCCAGCTCAGGAGAGCTGAGGCTGATGTGATCTTTTCTTCTTGTGTCTCCTTTTGGCTGCCGTTGGAGATGACATTTGGCTAGGCAGACCTTTGGTCTGACACAGCACAATTGC